ATGGGTTTCTAATGAGATCTTTCCCAAGCCCTTTCATATATTTTCAACCGTTCTCTGATAACACAGGGATCCTGCCACGTACCATGCAAATGACATTATGGACACTGAGCCTGCTTACTCGGACTTCATCAGCTGTGACCGGAGTGGCCGAAGAAATGCAGTCCATGAACTTCAGGGAGATGCCACTGCCCTTAAACTGGAGAAACTGGCAAGCACCATAGTTGATATTTCCATTGCAAAGGAAGGTGAGCTACTGTTTCCTCAAGACAAACCAGAGCTTCCCAGGAAGCAGGTGAAATTCAGGAAGTTTATGCATAGATGTTGTGTGCAATTCACATGAAGCTGTTATTTTATTTATTTATTTATTTTAAACTTTTTATACCATCCACTACTGAGGTCTTGGGATGGTTTGACAGTAAAGCAAAATAAAACAAAATATTTATTTTATAAAACAGGACTTATATTTATTGTGTAATGCTTTACTGGCCAGATGAGGATAGAGGCATGTTCCTAACACCCCAATTCTCATTCTAGGGGTGAATGCTCAATTTTCCACTCTTATGCATGGCTGGAGGCTCTCTCCTACTCTTTGTACACTGTTCTGGTTTATTGATAGCAGGTTATCCTCCCTTGATTTCAATGCCAAGAGGCAGTTCGTTCTTCTGCTTTGGGAGTGGTTCGGTGCCTTTTGCTAGAGGTATTCAAGCAGAGGGTTGACTGGCGCTAAACAAGAGTACTCCAGATGGATTTCTGTATTGCAGATCCTGCACTGAGCAGGTAGCAGGACTAGATGATCTCAAGGAACCCTGGCAAATATTTTATTCTATGGCAAGGTATAGTCAACAATTCAAAGTCAACAGTCAACAATGTGGAATGACAAGATGTGGCCCCAGTGGTGCCTTAGTGTTCATGAACATGCAATTTACATGGTTGCACTCTAGAAATAAGATACATCCAGTACTCCTACATATACTTCACTTCTAGAGACTCCAGGGAGGGTAGGAAATATGAATAATAACTTCAGCAATTTGCACCAACAAAATATTATCAATAAATCCCTAAGTAACAGAAGTAGAGTTAGTAACTGATGTGGAATAGCTACCTTTGAACAGGGACTGTCCCTATCAAAGAGGGCAAATGTTATGTACCATTATTTCAGCTTGGCAGTATTTTTTGAAAATTATTTCTATGCACATTTCAAAACAACTTCTTAATCAGTTTGTGTGAGGGACAATCCAGCAGCTGCCTTCTTGTGTAAAATCAGAAGACCCTAAATTCACCGAGGAAAGGTACTCTGCTAGCTATCCTGGTCCCAAGTTGTTTAGGGTTTTCATATGTCAACAGCATGACTTTGAACATGGCCTGGTAGCTAACTGGTAGCCAGTAGTTTTGTTTGCTTGCTTCTTAACACATGCGCTAGGTGAAAAAAGCTGGGCATCCCAGCAAGTGCTTTGGCTGCTGCATTCTGCATTAGCCACAGGTTCCAAAGTAGGCCAAGGGCAGCCCCGCATGGGCCACATTACAGTAGATATCACTGCAATCAGTGATATCTGGAATATGTCTGCAATTAGCCTGGAATATGTCCAGAGCTGTAAGCATATTAGAAAACAAGACAGTTACCGATTTAAAAAAATCTGTTTTTTAAAATAAAATCCTGCATATTCTTTGGAAAAGGACATAGCTGTTGTTGGCAATGTTGCTGAGGTAGATGACTGAACTTATAATAACAGGGGTCTCTGGAAGTCCTACAGAAAATGTCTTTCCATGTTTCATTTTAAAATTTAAAGTTTGGGTTATATTTTTGCCCTTGTACTGCTTTATGGGAACTAAGCTGCAAAATATTCTTGAACTATGCACAGGCACATTGTAGGGGACAAAAATATTCAAGAGGAGCTGGAGGGTTTGGCCAGCCTCCTCTTGAACAGCCAGCATGCGCAATTGGCATCAGTAAGAGATATGACAAGAAATGCAATCAGAAATATAAACTGTAACTCGAAGGAGTTCAGGATTGCTTACAATTATTCTTTGATACAGGGCAAAAAGTGCAGTGATCTGAACACATGTAAGCACAGAAAAGCCAAATGTGACTTCTCTCTTCATACCCTATCCATGCAAAGCACAAACTGAGCCAGCCAGGGACCCAGCCAGTGCGGAGTGACGTGCACCTTCTTCCAGGACCACAGAGTCATCACGACTAACCAAACTGCATTTATGTGCCAAAGAAACAAATGTTCATTGCCTTCAATGTACAAAGTGCTTTGTTGTTTTTCTCCGCAACCATCCTTTTGATCACTTTTTTAACAGAAAACCAAGAAGAGGATGAGGCTGCTGAGAAGAAACCTGGAATGACTCCAGAGAACCGAGATGACTGCCCAACTTTGTGAAATCTCTGATTTAGGCTGCAGAAAGATGGAAGACGACAACACCTGAGCTCTTCCAGATTAAGATATCAAACTACGAGAAGGAGGTCCTTATTGGAAGGGCACTGCCACAGCCATCTGGATCTCACAGTCAACTCCTATGGCGAGCAACTGGTACCTCCATAGAACTCTTTCTCTAAGAACACTATGAAGCACAGTCTGTTTTAATGACTTGAGCCACTCAGACAGTCTCAGCAGCTACTTTTCTATATAGGAGAACACACTTTCAGTAATGATATGTACACTTCAGAACTTAATTGTACAAGGTACATTTTGCTCACATGGTAAATATAAACTATTATTTATTCCTTTGTTCCTGTAGATTATTAGAGGCTGCATTTTGTCCCACACTGTGCACATGCCGCATCTCAGACACAGGCTGATATTCTGGGGCTGTGATCATGGGAATAATAGGATATAATCCATCCAAAAATGTAACATGAGATACATTGAAATCCATAGGCATTGAATAAGAACAGCCATGCTCTTGTACAACTTCAGTTCACTTCAATGGGATCCACACATTAAATGTTCCCCAGGGATATGTTCACCATATTTTGCTTGAAACAGGCGTCAGTGAAATCTCGCAGCCTCTGTTTCATGTTACCGAGGCAGTCCTCCTCCTCTCTGACACATTGCAAGGGGGCTAAAGTTCAGAGGCACATGCCAGCTGGTTCAACCTGGGGAACCTTGGCATTTGGTTTATTTGTACTTTAGAAAAAGGAAGGTGCCACATCTTCAAGCTAACTGATTACATTCTAGAGTTCAGGAGTTTCCAGCAAGGTTTGCGTGCTCTTAGGTCATGTCTTATGTTAAAAATTTCCTGCAGATTCATAAACCCATTTTTCATCCACTAAAGCTAAATGGTTTTTTTTTCTTTTTTTTGTTCCCATATTTCCCTGTTTCCCAGTACTTTTAACACTAGGAAGTCACTTATCATGCAGTCTGTTCTTAAGTATTTCTCTGAAAGCAAATATTTGCTGTTGATGAAACACTGAGATTGCTGTGTACTAATGTAATCTTGGATTTTTTTTGTTTAGATACCATTCCTAATTATCCTTAGCATAGAATTCTTTTTTTCAAATCCGCCACACATGTTCTTATTGAGCCATCCAACACCACCCCTGCATTTTAGTGGCCCATCATGACAAGTCAGACCTCCATCAGAGTATATCAGGTTAGAATCTTTGCCTCCCCGCCCCCACTTCCATTGAACGGCATCTGTTACCATTTTAGTGTCCATTTACAGAATTTGCGGATTTCTTTCTGGATGGGGGTGGGGGATTGGCTTGATCCTGTGGGACCATCCTAGGGGACCAGATGGCATTCCTGAAGCCTTCCCCAAAGCCCCATCCCCATCTGTCCTCTTTCTTGGTGCAGAAAGGGACAGAGCAGTCCAGAGGAAGGGACTTAGGGTCACTTGTCCTTCAGGGGCTGAGTGTGCAGCTTTCATCCTCATCCCATTCCTCAACCTGCTGGGAAAGTTCACATGGAAAGCTCCACTCTTCAAGCTCACACACCCAAAGCCTTGGCCAATTCTAATAAGGATGCAACGTCTGGTCAGGACCAGTTCCACTTAGTAAGTGGCCAATCACTCCCTCCCCTCCCAGAAAGGGCTCCGCTTAACCGTCTGTGTAAGAAATTATTTTCCACTTGTTTGTCCCAATAAGACACTATACTAAGTGACCACTAATTTAAGAACTTAAGTCTTTTATGCCTGGTATTATCTTCCCTTTTCCCATAAATTGAGGTGGGGAGTTGGAGACCGATTGCAATTAAGGATAAGCTTTCTAAAACATAACAACAATTATCCTATTTTGTAAAGGTTTTCTCATCTTCCTCTTCCACATGTACCCAAAAAAGGAAGAGACACAAACAGATGTCCACTGGTAACTAAACTATCACAGGAGACATGCTAATTTTAGTGCTTCCATTCTGTTAAGTATGACCAGGCTAAGTATTATATTTAGCCAAATCCCTTGTGAGCTGTTTGTAAGCTACACTCAATCAGCATGAAGGTTTTGCTGGTGACCAAACATATTAAGCGCAATTACTAGTAGTGCTGAAAGATCATGCTCTTTAAATCAGGTAGCATCCTGTCTTTTAATACCCAGAGGAGCTCGAGCTTCCACGGAATGAGCAGCAGGAACTATTAGTATCCAAGTTCTGTAGTAACATGCAGAATTTTGCTATATTCTGACTACTAAAAACTAGCAGAGAAATTTGTGTATCTGGCCACACAGGAACAAAAATTCTATTTCAGGTATTACCTTGTTCTCTTATACAAAGGTTGAGCCAACTCCTTTTCACAAAATGATTGCTCTGTGAAAGGGTGGGGTAGTATTTAAAAAAAAAAAAAAACTCAGGTGGGGTGGGCTTACCTTAAATGCAAGGCACCCACACAGTGTTCCCCTCATCCAAACAGTGCTGCTTTGAGGCTTGGCTGCTTGTAGCATCTGTGGTGTTATATGGGACAGAATACCCCACAGGAACAATGCTGCCAGGGCCCATGGCTAGTTCATCTTTTATGGTGAGCCCATCCACTTGAATATTCTCAGATTTCACTCCCCCCCCCCCCCCCACCAAGGACAGGCACTCCACAGTCCTCAAGTACGTTTTGGACTGCAACCTTCACAATCACTGACCTACTTGTTAGGACTGGTGGGAGTTACAGTTGAAAATATCTAGATGTGGCCAGGTTACCTACTGCACGAATATGAGGCTGTCCAGGTTCTTTGGCTACCAACATTAATGGATTTTTAACTGAATTTGCCAGGGATATCCTGCAATGAAAGGCGGCTGGAGAAGCTGCAAGCGTGGAAGAGACAAGCCGCATGGGGGATGATGCCTCTGCCTGTTCTTTTCCCTCTCATTAGTCAAAATTGTTCCTCACTGGGAAAAAAGTATGGGGAGAACAGCTGCCATGAGGAATTTGTGCTAACAACAGGAAGGAAGGAAACAGCTAGCTAGTTTTGTTAATGTCAGCTTGCAGCCATCCAAAGCTGCTTTTCATGAAAAAAAGAAATCGCTGGTGGAAGGAGATAGGCAACTGAAACCGAACTACATGTGCTCCTGTTTTTTATCCTTCTTGTGTATCACAAGCTCCCATTTCTCCTGCATTATGCAACAGGCATTCTAAGCATCTATCCAGCCTAAAGCTTCTCTATTTCCATTCGTTTCATTATACCCACAGAACAGCCTAAAAGTTCTGTGTAACCACTGCAGCCCACACAGAACACTGTAGCCGTCCCTCCCCTTCCTCTAATCCACCTTTGAGTTTTAACAATATCTCACTGAAAACTCCACACATTTTGTTTCTTCCTAATCACGCATTGATTTTGGCCTGCATTTATTTTGTCATGGCCAAGACAAACATGAAATACTCAAGTTGTTAAAATGAGCTTTATTATATTAAATCAGGAGATACATTCTGGTTTGTTCTTTGGGATGTGAACTATCTCCTCACAAATCAATTCAAAAGAACTATTACAAAATAAGGCGGCAGGTACTGATATTAGAACAATTTACAAGCAGTCTAGCTTTTCAAACATTACAAAAGTAACAAAATAATTCCTCTTTATATAGCTCTGATTTTTGTTTACAATAAGAGTGTTTCCTTGTTGTTGGTATAGCCATTATTCACTGGCTTTATTTTCTGAGATGAGCGCTATGCAAGACAGTCTTTTCCCCACATACAAAACAATGAAGTCTAAACCAGTCACTGGAGGCAGGTGTTTGGTGTTTGAAGATTCCAATACCAGCCTTTTAAACCACCAGAGAAATGGCAGCACCAACTTCTATGTTTTCCTCAGCTTTGTTACAAACTTTAAATACTGACATATTGTAAATGCATAACTATTTCTGCGTACAAATTGGAATAATGCAGTGCCAAGTTCTTTAACAGTTAGGCCCTGTATAACACTGACACAGAAGGGTCGCGTGTTCCAGTTTTCTGCACCATTAGGAACAAGATCATTTGGGAGTCTGAATGTGGCCAACAGATACACCTGCTACTTTAGAATCCACCTTGCTTGCATTGAAGTGAAACCAGAAAGTATCGTCATTCATGTCTGAAGCAGCTACAGTTAGCTCTGTGACATTTAGCCTACGAAACCCTGCAAGACTTAACAGTCAGGCCTAAAGAGGATCTCAAGTGCCAACATGTAGAGGTAGCTGGAAACAAGCTGCAAGTCTGCAGATGATCTGTTTTTTTCACAGATGCAGTCTTGAAAGGAAGCCTGGTTTCTTGATAAAATTGTATTCAGGGAAACCACTATAACCTTGCTTAGGTTATAAAGGGCATCAAAACTAAAGCTTGCAGATTGTAGGCTTGGGTAAAGGCTTAGAATGAACCTTGTTTGCCAAAGCCCTTGTTTAGAAGTTAAGAATTCGTTCATTAACATCCTGAGCCACATGAGAAACACAAAAATGGCTAGGAATTAGCTAACATGGGAGTGCTCCAAGTTACTAAACTAAATATTTCCAAAACAAAAAGCAATTCATGGTTGTTTCTTCAGAGTTTTCACAAATTTACTTAAGTTTCCAACTTAACCTGTATTTGATATTCATTTGTTAGGAATACACATTCATACTGTGGGCAATGCATGTTTAAAGATACAGCCACAAACATTAAAACAGCTCTTGTTCATAGGGAAATAAGGGCTGTGTGAATCCAGTTTTCCATGTCTCTCTGGGCAAAAACCAGATGTTATGTCATCCTTCCCTAAACTGGTGCCCTTCAAATGCATTAGATTGCAGCTCCCATTATTCTCACCAATTCATCTGGAGATCACCAGGTTGGGGAAAGCTGTGCTAAATGCACAGCCACTTCTGAAAATAGTAGTTAGCCATCGCCCTCCCTTCAATAAAAATTTAGCAGTATCGCAACCACCTTCACTTCCCAACCCCCATCCTGTTGCCTGCCATGTGCCAGGGTAGGGAAACAAAATGCCATGATACCCATTAAGTTATATTAAATATTATGGAAGATGAGAGGAGCAACTGGGCATTTATTGTCACGTTTGCTTGGACTGTCAGAAATTATTCTTGAGAATGATGCACAGAGGCAAAACAAAGATATAAATCTGGCTATGTTAAAAGAAGCTGCGCCATAGAACAAACAATCATGGCATTTTGATGCATCACTTTGGATACTGTGTTTTGGATCCTAAAGACAGGAAGGGATTGAGTTCCATTTCCAACCTCCTTCCAGCTGCAGCTCTGCACACTCCCCCCCGCCCCCGCCCCACCAAGGCTCCTCTATTTCCCAGCAGGAGATTTCTGAGGAGCTGTATGGAGAGAGGAGAAAAGGAAAAGCTCAGTTCCATGAACTCTGTTCCAATCATGAAAGGAAAGTTAGGAATCCAAGTCCATGTATCTGGAGTGTAAAGTTCTAGAATGGAAGATTTCTGTGAATCTAGGAGGCGAAGTTTATCATTTATATAGCAAAGTTTATATAACAGATACAGTTTACAATCACTAAAAGAAATCCCACATATTTACATGGGAATGAAGCCACATGGATTTGTACTGCTGCAATTATCATTTTGCTGTTTATTCTATATGATTTATTCCTGCATGAAACAGAATTATTCCACTGCCATGTCATTCAAGATATTTACTTATAAAGTTAAATTGAAATGCTTCCATTTAATCTAAATTAGTCCTCTTGTGATTTAGGCTAACTGGTTTGCAATCGAGCATGTTGAGAACCTAGCATAGTTAAAACAAGTTACTCTAGCACCATTATATAAAGTTACTTTGCTGTTGGTCACAGAGAAGAGAAAAGGAGTGTGCTATATATAACATACATGTGTCAAAACTGCCAGTTATATAGGGCAGTTTCCATAGTGCAAGTAGCAGACAAGGCAATTGTCTCAGCAAATATACTGGAATAAAAATAAAAAAATAAAAGGTTCGCATCTTCTGTGAAATCAGTTTATATTTTTAAAGCACCCTTTTCTGTTTATTTGCACTTACCCAGCTTAAGACATTTTACACAAGTTTGATTACAAGCGGGAAAGTGCTGCATTTGGTGACTAGCATAGTTACCTACCACAATTCAGAAAGAAAGAATAGCATGCAAAATCAGACTTTTATGCAAACCATCATTATATTGGAAACTATGTGCACATATCAGACGCAGTTGTGTGCCTGGAGGAAGTTCACTGTGATCCCCATTCACATTCCACTATATGAAAAGTGATACAATTGGCTAGTCTTCTTGAACTATAGACAGGAATCCTATCTCCAAAGTACAGGCAACTGTATCTGAACCTGAGTCACTAATTTTGGATATTAGCAATCAAGAATTCGATGGAATTAAAAAAGCATTAAATGGAATGAAGTACAGGCTGAAACAAATCCACAGTCATTTTTACAGGAGAGCTTCCTTCAAAAGATGACAAATCTCTAAAACTGGGGTCCTCAAACTTTTTGACCAGGGGGCCGGTTGAAAGGTGCCGGTGCCGGGCGTGGGCCGGAAGGGTGGGGCCGGCGGTGCGCGTGGGCCGGCACGGGGGCAGGGCGTGCACTGAGGCAGGAGTGGGGCACGCGGCGGGAGGGTAGGCAAGGCGGGCACGTGCCGCGAGGCGGGCGCATGTGGCAGCGGCTTGCTCGCTTAGAGATTGCATTCTCCGTGTGAGCAAACCGCTGCCTCCCCACATGCACGGCAAGGTGAGTGGCGGCGTGTGCGGTGCATCCAAATGGGCATGGCGGGCCGGATAAATGGGCATGGCAGGCTGGATCCGGCCCCGGGGCAGTAGTTTGAGGAGGCATGCTCTAAAACATATGCCAGCAGCGATAGACTTTTATGATTTTATTTCTCACTCTTTTGCATTTAAGGGTAAACAAAACAAAGACCAATCACAACAAAATCTATGTCATTTTAAGACAGAGGAAATTGCTTTGATTTTGTTTTCCTGTGTGTGTACACATGTGTGTGTGTGCATATACGCACTTTCAGAAGCACACACACCCCTCTCTTTAGTTCGCTTTTGATCAAATAAGTTTTTGAAATAATAAAAAGCCTGCAAAACCTGTATATCAAAGTGGAAAGTGAGATTAATATAATTGCTGGAAGCGGCAATCCCTCTTCTAACCTTTCAGATCTGTGAAAAGGTTGCAATGTTGCCAGCCTACAAAAAGAGCATGTAAACTCACAGCACTCATTTATTTTATGTATTTTATTTCTATACAGCCCAACAGCTGAAGCTCTCATCTTAGCTATGGGATTTAGCTGCTGTAGGTAGATATGATACAATCATCACAGGAATACTGTTCTGTATATAATATAGTGCATGCCCCCCACAGATAGTAGTAGTAAACATAATAATACTAAGTCTGTGCATTGTTTTTGATGAGCTTAAAAGTTGTCAGGAAAGTGGCGAAGGAAGGTAGTCAAGGCTGGCTGTCATAAGAGGGATTAGAAATTAGAAATCTGTATTTTGCACAATGTCATAGGCTTCGTAGAGTTTGTGGAGAAGCTCCTTCTTCTCTTTCTCTGTGGTGAAGCTGGACTTGGCAGCATTTATGTTCTACACAAAGAAGAACGAATATGGATTGAAGTTGGTTATATTCCAGGAAGTACCAGATTCCACTAATGTTTGTGTACACACTAAATTTAATTAAAGCAATGAATAACTGATAATACCTATATTTAAGTCTTTAAATAGGGGGTCGGGGGGTGGGGAGGACAGGATTGTAGAAACATTTTTTAGATTTCACTCCTATACACACTTACTAAGTGGAGTAAGTCTTATCAAACACAACATATCTCGAATTGCACTATAAAGTAAGCTCTGTATCTAAATGGATGCATGTGGCCGGAGAATGAGGGGACTCCAGACAAAATTCAGTGCAAGGATCTGAAGGGGCTTCTAAACAGATTCAGCTGAAGGTAGTTAGAAACTTCCCCATGATCAGGAATGCTAATGATGGAGGGTTTTAGTGACAAGGAGGCTCAGAGTGCGCTTAATTCAATGAGCTTTCAAATGCTCTTTAGAACATAGTGCTTAAAAAACTAGAAGGTTTGGAGAGTAGCCAGCATGTGTGGAGATGCTGGGGGGGGGGGTGGTCTTCAGTGCTTACCCCCTTGATCTCCGCACTTTAAGCCCACATGAATTCATTCAAATGCCTGAACAGGATTCAGTAGCGGGAGGTCTGGCAATCAGATGGCTTCACAACATAAGGCATGTGCACACGCACAGACACACTTTCCACTGAAAGTGGAAACAATGAACACGAGGAAGTTTGCATAGTCCTCCACACGGTTTTACCCTCACAATAACCCCATAAAATCGATTAGACTAAAGACCAGTGATTGGCAGAAAGCTATTCAGTGAACTCCATGGCCAATTAGGAACTGGAGCCTAGAACTCCCAAGCCTCTGTCCAACACTTCGCCAGAAGGGCCCTCAAGGTATTCTGTCTCATACTGAATTAGATCTATGATCCATGCAGTCAGTAGGATCTTAACTACTGGTGAAGCCTCGCCAGATTCCAAAATGGTCGTTTTAACCCAGGCCTGCATCAACAGTTTTAAAATTAGCATCAGAAAAAATCATCTGATCAGAAGTGGCAGTACCAAAGGAGGCCCTTCTCTCAAGCCAGACAAAAACTCAGTGCAAATTGGGAGACTGGTGCTAAGAAATCCTTCAAATGTTCATGCATTATGCATGTGCTTTCCAGGATTACCAGGCAGGACTCTACTGCTCAGCCTGTCCTCAGAGTCCTGCAGCTCTCCTCCCTGTATGCATGGCTGAGGTGATCTCCATGCCTGCACACATAAATCTGTGTGTATGGGGTTCTGAGAGAAGCATTGCAAGCCAGCTCCCTGACATGAAGACCAAGTCATCCATGGGACGGGGATTAAATCATGCAAATTAAATACACTGCATGCAAACAAAAGTCACCTCACTTTGCACAATCTAATCCAATGGTAATAAAGTAAAGGTAAAGGTTTCCCCATGATGTTAAGTCCAGTCATGCCTGGCTCTAGGGGGCGGTGCTCATCTCCGTTTCCTAGCCGAGGGAGCCAGCGTTTGTCCACAGACAGTCTCCGTGGTCATGTGGCCAGCATGACTAGACACCGAAGTGCACGGAACACTGTTACCTGCCCACTGACGTGGTACCTTTTTCTCTACTTGCATTTGCATGCTTTCAAACTGCAAGGTTGGCAGGAGCTGGGACGGAGCAACGGGAACTCGCCCCGTTGTCCAGATTCGAACCGGCGACCTTTCGCTCAAGGAGCCCAGCAGCACAGCGGTTTTAAGCCACTGCGCCACCTGCATCCCCCAATGGTAATAGATCCAAGGTATAGATCCAAGCTATTAACAGTTTTAGGACTTCTCCCCTCAGTAAGGGTTGGAAACAATTTAGGATTTTTGTACTTGGGCTGGCTTTTGTGGTGTGAAGCTGGCATGGTCAGCTTCAAATGATTAAAATAGCTTGTTAAAAAGGTACATGTACTTTGCATTTAAGCCCTTCTATCAGGTGGCTCTGCTGTTGTTTTTAGAAACCTTAGGATGGACTTTACGTCAAATATTCACTAATTTGATGCATTTCTGCTACTATACATATTCATTACCTTTTGTACAAGAACTATGCATAGGATTTGTAAATCCGCTGCTTTGCTGCCGCCTGAACACTCACCTGCTCCCAGTTTCCAGTGAGAGGGGAGATCGGGGGCAAGGGGGCTGTGCTTGCAGAGGGCAGCGCTGTGCGCCTTATTGTGCTGGCCACGGCCCAGGCCCTGGGCCTCCACCATCTGCCTGCTCGCCTGCCCGCCCAATGCTGTGCTGGGAGGCACCATTGCCACTGCCATCAGGATGAGAACTGTGCCCTGCTCTGCCCCTCTGCTGCTTTGCTGCTACCTGTGCATTCACCTGCCTTTGATTTCCAGTCAGAGGGGAGATGGGGGGGGGGTTGCATTCTTGAAGGGCTAGGTGGGCCTTATTTTGCCCACTGTGGACCGGGCTGGCAGCCTTGGGTCAGCAGCCAAAGGGCATTGTGCTGTTTGCTGCCGTTCGGGGTTGGGCCAGGGATTCCGCTTCTCAGCGACAGGGAGGGTAGGTGATACAGGAGTTTTGTTGTTAGTAGAGCTACTGCCTTAAGGCTATTTTTTAGTTGTTTGGTACAGCGTCTTTTAAATTTTTATATATTTGCATTTATTATAGCTGGTATGAGAAATCCTGGGGAGCAGAGGGGCACCCCCATATGGGTGGTTATGGGCAGGGGAAGGTATGGTGCTGGGGGTTTAACAAGCCTGGGACCTGGATATTTGAAAGAGCACCTCCTTCCATAAATACCTACCCACCCTCTAAGGTCCGCATTGGAGGTCTTTCTTTAGGAGCCCTTTTGGAAGAACAGGAGAGTGCCTACCTTGAGTAGGGCCTTCTCTGGGGTGGCACCCCAGTGATGGAAGAGCCTCCCCGGAAAGGGGCGACTGGCACTGATGCCTTTTTCATTTTGGCACTGGGCCAAACCCTTTTTATTTTCCCATTATTTTAAATGTTAAAAGTGTTTTAAGGTCGGATTTTATTCATTGGAACTGTTGATGCTGTATCTTATTTATTGTATTGTATCATTGTCCCAAGATATTGTGAAGGTGGGATAGAAACACTTTAAATAAATAAAGTAAGTAAGTAACCAAATGCCTTGGGTCACAGTAAAGTGCTCCTCAGTAATATGAAAAAAGGAAAAAAATGGAATTCTACAATAGACCAAAGCTGCATGAGCTTAATGATGATGATAATGTTTGGGCTGAAAGGCAGAATTAGCTTTCCAAGATCAAAGAAACTTATACAGCTGAAAAAGTCTCTCTGGAATCGTTGAAGTCTGGTTGCATCTTCCTACCAAGTCCTGAGACTTGGTTTGCCTGAAGCTCCATCTGGGCTTAGCCAGGAGAGAGGCAGCAAGTGAAAAGACTAGGAGGTTGGGCTTGCTGCCTGCCTGCACTTTGCTTCTTGGCGCTACTCACTTTCTACATGGGCCAAATTCACTGGCCAGTTGATTAGGGGGTAGGGATGGACTTGGGGGTGGATCTGACTGGGAAATTCTCTTTGCTAGTCCGTTCTTGGCTTATACATTAGGGGCCTTCCTTGCTTGTCCTCCCTCTCAGCGCATCTTAGTTACCTTGGCTGGTGGCTTCCTTTGCCTGGGTTTCAGGCACCAGTTGACAGAACTAGAAAGACATTTTTCTTTTGGTTGCAGACTGGTATGTGGTTCTGGGACTTGTTGTTTTCCGTATGGTAAATAATCAGCTAAACTGCCAAGATGGCTCTGACTGTGGGGTGGTGAAGAACTGAACTGAACTGAACTGATTATTCCTGGTTTGGCCAAATCCTGTGGCCCATGTGCAGGGACCACAGCTGGGGCTGAGCAGGTACAGGCCCCCTGCATCACCCACCCAGGCCTGCTTCAAGAGCCTTGAGGGTAAGAGCTCGTGCTCAGGCCAATAAAAGAAGCTGGCATGTCTGCCACCTTTCCCAGTCAGTCGCAGGAGGTGGGAGGCGTAGTCTCTGCTGTGGGTGATCCTGTGCTGCATTTTCTTGGAAGCAGCTTCAGCAATCCATCTGCAGCAGCAGAGCTTGGTCACGGGCTGAAGCCGTATTGCTCAGCCCTGCAGGAATGTATTCAGATCTGAGTAATGTGTGTAATCTGCTGGCTGTTTTCATTTTTAAAGTAGTTTAAACAGGGTAGGGACTGGTCATCTTGGACTGATAATGATATATAAGTGACTAATGTACCAACTAGTTAGCTAATATATCACTCAGATCTTATTCTTTCCTCTCTGACAGTCAGAATGAGTCATCTTTTTCCTAGAGAGTCAGGTTAAAACAAGATTGTTGCTTTTATGGCTCTGTAGTTAGACTGAAAGCTTGTCCTCACTGCATGCCTTATGTGTTTGTTTCCAGTTCAGCAGATAGATCCCTTACTGAACCAATACTATTGTCTTGCATATTTCCTGTATATATACACACATATTTCCTTCTTACAGAGTTTGTCTCTCTCTGGGTTTTCTTTGGCACAGTGCTTAATATAAGCAATGATATCTATAATCCCCATTCATCCAGCTCAACAGAATCCTGCGGTAAATATTTATACATTCATATTTAATTTGATTAAGCAAAGAGATGTCAGTTCTGGTAAAGTAAGCAAGTTGACTGGACACATAAAACTTCTCCTTTCATTTAAGAAGAAAAAGCCTTGATTATTATTGAAGGAAGAAGGGTTGGACTGTGGCTAGAGTGAAGGTCACTGTGATATTAGCATGCTAATGAGTTTATTAGTAGTCTTACCATTAACTCCTTAATGAGTTAAGCACTCTACTTCCTGGTTGCTTATAATAAACAAGTGGAGCAGGGAGGTAAACTTAGAGACGATTTTGAGAAGAATTACAACAAAGATACTTGTGGAATCTTATAGACTAGCAAATGTTTACAGGATAAGATTTCCAAATGTTAATGTCACAGTAACAACATTAAGTTTTCAAGTACTGCAAGGTCTGCTTTCAACTGAGCCAGGGCATGGATTGAGGCACATCAGCTTCTCACAGAATTTGCGGTGACAAAGCTTATGACAGTACGCTGATGCATGTGGTGGAAACAGATGGCTATTACAAAGCATTATCTTAAAACAACTGACATATAATCATGTGAGAAGCTAAATTATCTGCAGCTCTCTGCCCAAATTGCAATAATCTTAACACATCACTACAATTCAGATTTCTGAAATATAAATTCTATTCATTGGGGAGGAGTAGCTGGGCAATAGCTTGCAAATGTTATGCCCACCACGGCTTGGTTCCCATATGATCATTTCTGTTTAGAATATTTAACTTTGCCAGGATGAATGTAATTTACCTGGAATAAGCGCACACTTCCAAGTAAGTAGGCTTTAGGATTGAACTGTAAGTTATTACAAGAAAATTCTGCAAACAACATGAAAAACCAGACCAACTCACCAATCTCTTGAATTCCTCCTCACTGAAGCCCATATAGTCATGAGCTATTTTGTAGTCTTTGTGAATTGTGGAGTTGAATATAAGAGGATCATCTGTGTTCAATGAGTAATTTGCCCCATCTTTCATAAACCTAGAAAAGCAGGTATGTGATGATGATATTAAAGGGACTAACACTTTTCATTTTCTCATGAGCAAAAAACACTGTGCAGGCAGCTTTTCTAGGATTTCTATCTATTTGCATTCAGTCACGTATTTTCCAACATTACAGTCTGAATGGCACAACTGCAAACTGCTTTTCTTTGTTACAGAAAAAAACAACAACTCAATGAAGTGTCAAAGAGTGTTCTGGATAAAAAGCAAGGGCAAGGCAGGTGGGGATGCATAATAATTTGGGGCTTAAGCATAGCACTCCCCCTCCGCCTCTTCACAATGGAACAGAATAAAGCTGCACTGGACACGGTGCAGCATATTTCCTGCTGGTTACAACCCATTTCAGGAGTCAACAGAACAAAACCAAAAGGTTTTGATAACTGACTGGATAGAGAGTTTGCTTTAAGTATCAGGGAATAATGTAAAATAAATTATTTTATTTATTTATTTATTTATTTATTTATTTATTTATTTATTTATTAAAACATTTCTATGCCATCCCATTCGCCAAAGCCTCGGGGCGGCTCACAACATAAAGTTAAAACACAAAAAATAACAATATTTATTTAACAATAACAAGATGCAGGATCATTACTGCATCTAAAAACAACTACCTTACCTTATTATTGGATGTTCACTGAAGGGTGCTGTACATGCTCCAGTGAGGTAACTAGACCATGGGCAGACCTGAATGTTTATCGTTAAAAAACACAAAGAGAGAATCAGTACACATCCCTTTTAAAATGAACAAAAAACAGAGCATGTTATGTCGGGTGCAAGGATATGCTCCGGAGCAGCTCATCACAGTTCAAAATAATTCTACTCTTACACTTCTAGCTGAAATATTTCATCTCCTGCTCACTAAGAAAAAAATGTGCTTGTGAAGACAGTAAGCACGATGACAGTAAGACCACTGGACAGTGTCTGTGCAGTCCGTTCTCGCACCTCAGCAAAGGTGAAAGAATAAACTGGTGTACCATTTATGCTACATACTGTACATCAAGAGTCATCCTTCTGCAGCTCCCTCAAAGGTTTTATGCTAAAGGAATGAAATATCCTTTTACATAGTTTATTTAGAATCTCTCTGGCACTGGGAAAGGGCAAAGTTCAATTTATTTATTCAATTTATTGAACAACTCAATTTTCTCTAGGCATCATGCAGTAAATACTGCAGTAGAGATATCGGAGAACATGTATCATGAGAATTATGAATCTGGCTTGAACTGTACACATCCTCGGATATGTCTGCTGATCAGGGTTATGGAAGAGTGAGTAGTTGCCCTTTTCGAAAGAACTCATAATTTCTAGAAAAGTTTTCTTTATTTCAGCTGAAAAGTAGGCATCTTAACATTATGCAGCTAGAACTGCACCACCACCTAACTCTCATAGCTGTAGTAACTCCCTGGAATCTCCAGGTCTGGCAGTGAAAGATTCCTGTCTGAAACCTTGAAGAGCAGTGACAATCAATCGATCCATCGATCGATCAATCAATGTGGTCAATACAGAGACAGATTGACTAATGTTCAGACTCTATGGGTGAATGCAGAAGTCAGGCAAAGCTACCTTAAGAAGAAGCTGCAGGTGCTGGAAGACTTCTCTTTTACTGCCTGCTCGGCAACTTCCCGTGGTTCACTTCATTCTCAATCCCTCTCAGTCCTCCACTGAGGAGATCCCAGGGGGCTTTGTAGCTTAAGTTTTCTTTTCCTTTTTTCTTTTTGCTTCCTATATGAGCACTAAAGTGCAACTGGCCCACTGCAGTTGCCTCTCATGGTGAAAACTCCCTTTGTCCCACCCACCCGCATCAGATCAGAAAAACGAAATAACTTTCTGAGCTGTTATGAACACAGGAATGCATACAAACTTTGGGGTTCTTTGTTTGGATCTTGTGCTCTTGCTCAAGACTGCATGAGAATGTGTCCGTTATTTAGCTAAGCATATGCATATCCCGCTCTTGTCAAAGAAGTGCCTCCTTTTTGGCACTTCCCATGCTAAATAACGTTTTAAAGGAACAGCATCTGCTCCTAAAGCTTCCTTTTCCTGAAGTCACCAGCCTCTATTGGTTTTTATCCCTCTTCTCTGTGCCATTTGCATTCCTCCACTGTTCTCCATTGTTAGCTGTCAGATATGCATAAAGCTTGCACAACAGCAAGTGGGTTTGCTAAACATCCACAAATCTCATGCCAAAGCAGTAAAACTAAGGGAAAAATTACACAGCTCTCATGACAGAACTGTACAATGGAAGAGAAAAATTCTACAAATGCTCATTTGCTCATGCAAAGTTCCACAGCAAGGATAAAAACTTGCAAATATATGCCAGACCATCTCCTTTTGAGATCCTTCCAAGAGATTAAAAATAAAGGCTGAAAAGGGATGAGGGAGAAGATCAGTAGCAGTTACAAGACTATGAGAAGCAGTGGAAGTTTTACTGCTCTTACTGATCTGCTCTCTAGCCATACTTCAAATCACAGTTGTAGAAATTCTAGACCTGCAATATAGTCCATTACCTCAAAGTGTATATTGTCTTTTAACAGTTGTTTATAGAAAGCTTCATCTTCAAAGACATGGTAGCCATGGCCAATACGCTCTGCTTTTAGGACGTTAATTGCCTATAATATCAAATGGAAAAGGATATGAAGAATCATGTAATTGCAGATAAGGTTACTGTGACTTATACAGCTAATCCAACAGCAACATCCTCAAAAATTGGAGGACTTCATTGATAGATTTAGAACCATATGCTTATATCCCACTCAAAAAACAAACTCAATTAGCACTGCCAAAAAACACATTTTAAAAGAAAGTCTGAGTTTTGAACACCGTCAAAACACCATGTTCCTATAAATGCAGTGCCTCACATTTTTCTACCTTTGAGCGCCTACCATCTTGGGGAATGGTGGAAAAGGTGCAAAGACAGTGAAACACTCAAGTTAAAAAAAAAAAGGCCTATGTCTTGATCTACAATGGGGTCTGTCACTGGGTAGCACAACAAGCCATCATAGGTACAACAGCCCCCCAAACCAGCCATGGTTTGCCGGGATATCTTGCTGCCCACAAACAAGCAACCCTAGGGGAAGCAGTCTGGGTTCACATAACACAACAATGCATTGTCCCTACTTACCCACGCTGGGTTGTCATGTCATGTGAATCCAGTCATTTTCCTCATCTCCTTGTCATCTACTATACTCTCCTCTTTGCTAAAATGATAATTTTCCTTACATCTGAACCAGCAAACTATGCAGTTTGCACTCCGAACCTCAGAAACGGGTGAGGGCATGAGGCCTGCTCATCTAAGGCATAATGATGATTTGGCATCATGAGTGAATCAAGTCTGTACTGATTGTGCAGGACAACTCCTGGTGCACATCATGCCCCAAACCGCCACCATCACAAGGCAGGTCAAGTTCTAAGCTTCCCACAAACAGAGCAAGTTAACAAATTAATATACAACATACAAACCATATTCAGCCACTTCTAGCTCCTAGCCTTGAAGCTGTTGCCAACATTTTATTCAAAATAATAAAACTATATATTAGACATTCTATGTATACCCCACCTTATTTTTCCTCTAGCAAGGAAGTTATAAAGCAGCTTACATAGTTCTCCTCTCCATTTTATCCTCACAATCACCATCCTGTGAGGTAGGTTAGACTGAGAGACTATAACTAGTTCAAAGTCACCCAGTGAGCTTTATGACTGAGTGAGGACTAGAACCTTGGTCTCCTGTGTTCAAGTCCAACACTAACCACTATGCCACACCAGCGACAAAAATCACTTCCACTGCACCTATACTTTTTGCATCAAATCCCCAAATCTCTTAATCAAAAAAAGCTCAATGTTATGAAATAAATGATGCAGAATAAAGACAGAACCCAGAAAGGCTGGTGAGCATACATAAGGTACTATTGTATGCTCCTGGGAAATTTGCCAATTTGTCCTTTGAGCAAGAGTTCTTCACTTTATCTAAACTGCTTCTTTACTTCCCTTGATATTTGGGAGCAGTTTTAGGATGAAGGGCTTTTATCATGCTTGGTCAAGATAGAAGTCTCTAAGTATGTCTGCAGACTACTGCTCCTGTTTAGAGAGAAAGTCCTTAAGAATATGGGGAACTACTTCCTATTGAGACCCTGGCCCTATATTGGGGGAGGACAGTCTATTGAAGAAAGGGAGAGAGAAAAGGCAGGTTGAGGTTAAGCTTGTAGTACAATTGTGCAGTGCAACTTCAGCTTTGAAAGAAGAGAGAAGACAGAATAGTAGGACTTAAAGAAGGAGTAAAACAGTTTCAGAAAGAGAGAAAAAGGAATATTCTCTGTCATGTTCTGACCAAATTGTAGAGAATGATGACCCAAAGTTTCAATGATGGACAGCCAGCTGCAAACTCATAAGCCCTGGGGAGAGGGAAGAGAGCTTCAGGAAAGGAAAACAAGACTTCAGGAAGGCGTATGGATTAAAAAGAGCTCTACAGAGAAGGACAAAAACTCAACAAGGTGAGACACGACTTCTAGGAAGAGGAACTTGACAGACAGTGATGGGTTTAGGTGTTAACAGTTGCGAGAGAGGTGATCCTGGAAGAACAATTGCTAAGTATGCTCCAGAACGTATGATCGCATAGCAAGAGAGGCACATGAATCGAGTGCCGTGTATAATACTTATAGGAAGCATCTGAAATCTCAGGTTTCTCATAGCCAGTTAATAGATAATACAGTGAGAGTTAATCAGATTAGAATTGGAAAAAGGTTTGGCACTGATCAATCCCAGGATGTTTCCTACTCTAGCAAATAGAGTTCTTCCCATGGCCTTGTCAATAGAGCAGCCTTCACTGGTCTAAAGCCAGATGTTTTAGACTCATGTTCCAGGATCCCTGATCACTAGCTGTGCTGGCTGGAGCTGATGTGAGCTGATGTCCAAGACTTCTAGAGCTCTGGTGCCAAGTTGCACAAGGCTGCTGTAGAGGACTGTAGGGAAAAACACATGGCTTGATTTGTCTTGTAAGATCTTTTGGAACTCTCAACCAGGCAAGAAGGAAAATGGTTTAAGCCTGCATGCTCCATGCGTGGGGATTTAAACTGATGACTCATTTTGCTTTCCAGCTAAACATAGTGAGACTGGAAGGGGAGGCCAAGAAAAGGAAAAGATTACAAAGCTGAAGTCGATTATTATTGTAAGCAGGACTTGATTAGAAACTGGAATAGTGGAAGGAGGGCCACGGAGTAAAAGAACTGGTTTGATTAAGGATTGAGGGATAGCTTGACTGGGGAAGAGATTGAATTCCATGGAAGTCAGGAAGATATGCAAGGCTGTTACAGTAGCTAGATGCTAAATGTTTCATTTTAGCTATAGAAGCTTCCCAACAATAGGATCTGTATAGACGCAAAGTCCGTATGTGTGATGCACAGAGACCATGAAGAACTGTGGGTTACAAGGCACCTCTTACCTCTTCAGAAAGTGAAATAAAAACATATTTTCTGTAGCGTGCATTTTTGCAACTGTGACAGATAACATTTCTTTTCTAGCCAGCCATATTCTACAATTTGCTGTTATCTGTATCTACTGAGTTTTCTTGAGGAGATCCAATGTAATTGTACTGTAGTGCAATGTCTTACCTCTTTAATGCCCTGGACATTCCCGACTTCACCAGCATGAACAGTCCGATGAATGCCAAGTTGTTCTGCTTTCTAAACAAAAGGCAACACAAAGGAAATGGGTGTGGGAGAGAGAGAAAGACTATCAGAGCTAACATATTTGAGTATTTTATTAGCTACCTTATCTATCTTGACTGTAGACTTAAAATAGCTGTATAATATAGATTCACAGCAAAAAAAAATCCTTTTGTGGATTATGGTTTCTCTCAGAGAGGGGAAAAACAGTTATTTTATTGAAATATATACAGATAGAAGATGCCAATTTCTTGACATTTTAGGCTGGACAAGAAACAAGACACGTGCTGTACATTTCATTTTTATTATTTGGGATGCAACCCTGAGCATATTTACCTCTGAAAAAGGCCTCACTGAGCATGGTTTTTCAGATGTTAGTCACTACAAGAACAAGTTGGATGACTGGTTAGCAGTCATGAATAAGGAAACTGTCATATTCTTGTACGTGTATATGCTGATGTGAAGATGAACAAACATGTTATTCTACTACTAGGTGGCCCTGAAAAACTGATAAAAGCCATTCTACAGAAACCACCAGTTGGTCAGCAAGTACACTAGGGACTTATTCACAGAAGGCATTGCGTATTTGCAATTCTTCACTTATGCTAGTTTGTGGGTATTTACATGATGTCATCAGCCTCTGTTTCCCATGGGGTTTGGTGGCTTTTTTTCAGAATGAGGGAAATAAAGTCTTATCTTTCCATTGCAGAATGTTTCAAAAAGACTCATGTATTCTTGCAATTCTGCTATAGCACAGCTATGCTGCAGCACCAGCTTAATTCCACAAAGAATCCGGAAGCAAGAGGGCTTGGTAAAGTGGCAGGTGAAAAATACCATGTGGAACCGCACTCAGAGCCCATGCCATCATGACTAACAAGTAATCATTTGATCACTGGTGTGGCTTCATATTTTAACTGAAAGTAATAATGAAATCCTGACTCTTTAAGAGCAGTAGTTAAATTCCTTAATGTTCCTGCTTTTGCAACTTCTGGCACAATGCTGCTGCTATTATCCAGTGCTAATAGAGCAGGAATTATGATGAATATGGAAAGTACTGACAAAACACAGAAATGTTTGAGTCTATTGACATGGAGGATTAATCAGAAACACAGTCTGCAACTGCGTGCTCTGACACCTTGGAGGGGAAGGTACTTAGATGTTTGAGACAATCTTGAAACTAAAAATTCTTTTGCCATTTTCTCACAAATTTTATCTTGCTTATGGAATGCTGCAATGATTTAAAACTTGGCACATCTAAGTGCAGCTGTTTTGTTAAATATGAGTTAGGCAAAGAACCCCAACAGTATGCTAAATGAAGAAGAACACACCTTTACAAATCTAATTTCCAATTCTGCACCCATCTGTGTGGCTTTTAAGTATGTCTCACTGGCTCTAATGGAATTTATCATTCTCTATAAAAACAGGAAATTATGCTGCAGTTGCCATCCAGGAGGAACATTCCATCAGGGTTTTCCTCCCCCAGAACTGAATCCAAGAACCAAACCATCAAGCTAAAGAAAAGGAAGAAACGAGGCAGGGACACTTGCGCTTATTCACCCAATTAGATACTACCGTTTAAAATCATGAATTGTAGTGTGTGGGGCTCACTGGGCCATGGTGTGATGCCAGAGGGTGTTGGCTCTTTGCCCTTGACAAAGTCCTAATTCATTCAGTCCTTGCCACAGCGACTTGCCTTAGGAGGAACTCTGCTACTGGCAACAAAGAATTCCTTTCTGATACAAAGAGCAGCCATGAAGGGATCCCTTCCAAAACAGATTACAGTAGTACAGTGTTGAAGCGCTCTCACAGCATGCCTTGATCCAGATTGCACACCCTGTCTGCATTTCAATTTTAACAAAAAATCTCACAATTACTAATTGTGTAAATTATATGTTAGTTTGCTTTTCAGGTTCCAACAGCATGCTGCTATTCTGCTCTTGATGCAGTTATAGCCATATCCATATCTTTATATCCTTGATTAAAGCACCCCACTAAAACACCTCCTGTGAACTAAAATAGGCAGAATGAAGACCTGGCTGTGTATTGCAGTGGTAGGCAGAAGGCAGACTAGGATCTCTACTGATACATTTCTGATGGGCATTTCTGATTTCCCATTGTTCAAAAGCGGAAAGGCATCTTCCTCCTTTCTAAACAAGTCTCCTTTAAATACAATAAGTGGGGGTGGGAAACTATAGTATGGATTATTGTACAAAGAAACTGAAAGCTCATTTCTGGTACTAAAAATTTTTGCACTGGGCATGTGAGAGAGGCAGCCTGTTCTTTAATTAGAAATGCATTTCAGCACCTCTAAGCCAGTATTTGGCACCAGCCTCTAGCTGGTAGACTTTGGGGTGCTAGTAAAAAACACGCGGTGGATCCAAGAATTCTGAAGTTGGCCTTCCTCCAAATATGCTACTAACTTTTTTTCGTTGAGGATGAATAATTGGAATGTTGATAGCCAAGACAAAGAAGCTGGATTTTCCCTTCTGGTTCTTTTGCTGAAATTTCCGCCACTGGCTTGTGTGATAGGGAAATCAACAGATATATTTCAACCAGTAGATATTCTAATGCTCTTACAAGATTCATGGCAAGGAATGTCAGCACAATAGAACTGATAAAGAATTATTAGTTTATATGTTATCATGAACAATTCCAGGAAATACAATAAATTAGAAAGTGCATGTCATGAAGAAATATTTTGCTTGATAGTCAAACACTACATGCCACAGAGGTCAAAGGAAACAATTCAATGAGACTTGATGCCAATAAAGCCTTGTTTGTTTATTTGTTTTGAAAGAAGTTAGAATATAGGAGCAAGTCACTCTTAGGCCCAATAGTTTTCAGTCATTTTCAGAACTGTGAGAAAGGTATAAGGGAAGGGGGCCTCTGAGTAGAAACTCTACCCCTCCCATCTTTATATAATAAAGTTCATACTGTTGATAAAAATTATCATAATGAAGTATGATGGAGTACACTGGAGTACAACGTCCAGAGATGCAACCACACCAATCCTCTATTTCTAAAGCTTCAGCGAGAGGTTTTCTGATCCTTGTTAAGACACGGTCTGTGGCATAGGTTTTACTAGCAGTTGATCTGGTTCTTATACCCCAGTGTTAATCAGGAGTTCAAGCAACTCTTTTCCAAATGCATGTTTATACAAAGACTTCTTAAATTACTTTCACATCCCACGTTTCTCCTCTTCTGAGAAACCTGCAGCAGCTTACATAGTCCTCCCACACTCCGGTTTATCCTCACAGCAACCACCCTGTATGGCAGGCTAGGCTGAGAATGAGTGACGGGGCCAGTCACCAGAGAGTGCCATGGCTGGGTGGAGACTGGAAGCCAAGTCTCTGAGTCCCCAGCCTAACACTAATCACCATGCCACACTGGCTTTCATACAGACAACTATGGGAGAATATTAAATAGTGTTGTTCTCAAATTCTATAGGGCATGGTAGATTTCCAAGTATCAATCCCCCACCCACCCAATAATAACTTTTTGCCGAATTGTCCTTATGAAATTGAACAAACCTTATAAGCCTCCTGATGGTTTAAGCAGAAGTCAGTTTTTAAGGACTCATCTCCAGCTAGGTCTATAGCAACCACGGTATCATTGTGATACTTCTTACACAGCTCTACTACTTCTGGTGACCATTCTGGAAAGAAAAACTTGAGTGAAGATGGGCATTTTTCCCCCAACCACCTCCCAAGCCTCACTTAAATAAAATTTGTATTCATAGGAATATGACATACCAGAACACCATTCCTGCATTTTCCCCCTTGATAAGACCTTCTAAAGCAGGTCATGCAGATACTCCAACAATGACAAAGAAGTATTCTTTGAAATAAATGAATTTATTCCTTGGCATGGGATATTTAGCTATACTTCTTGAAACTTCCAGAAGCTAATGAGAACATACAGCTCTTTTTTACAATTAAGGGTTTCAGATCCCTACACAAACTGCCCTTTGAAGTATTATATTAATGGAATGGTGTAAAAGGCTCCCTGTGCTACAAGGCCAAGATTTCTGAAAGTCACCTGCCCAGTATAAACAATGACAAATCTTATGACACTTTCAAGATTGGAGGATTTATGGTAGCATTGGTTGCATGAAGCGTTACTCTCAGTAGTCCAACGTATGTGTGCATAGCTCCATGGGTACAGGGAGAAAGAAATGTAAACAGTGAAGCCAAACAGCAAAAAAATGCAAGCAGTACAGTCTGATATTAATTATGCAAACTTTACAAAATAAACACTATGTAAGCTTTACTGTAAACACTGACTAGCGACTGCTTTCCAGGCGTTCAGGTAGGTGCCTTTTCCAGCCCTACTTGAATATGCCATGGATTAAACCCGGAACCCAATGCTTCATAAAGGAACACACACACACACACACACACACGAGTTGTAGAAAAACATATCTGCATCTCTCCCCCTTCTTTTCCTTCTGTTTCAGGGTTTGTTCAGTTCTGGTTCATATGGTCCTTTTAATTTTGGTTTCCTGCTAAGCCAAAGTGCTCATCTTAGCCCTTCCATCTCAGGGACAAATTGCAGTTAAGTACTCATCACAGAAAATACTGAGTTTTGGATCTGGTAGACCAAATCAAAGTATGGTCTCATCTCAATGGAACACTCAGATCATTACCATTTCCATCATGGGCATGCCAGAATTAGACTAGATGAGAAAGATTTAATAGCCAGCTCTACATCCAAAGGCTGTGAGACCAAGAAGAATGTTGGGTTTAGGTAAGCAATAAAGCAATCATGCCGTTGCTTTACCACACCAAATTCCAACTCACAGTATGCCCAGAGAGCTTTCCCCCATCATTTGACCACCTTTCAGCAGAAACAAAGAAGAATGTCTATACAGGATGCAAAGTCGGGGGTCTGAACATACCCTTTCCAATAGTACCACTTGATCTGGTATGCACAAGCCCAAGTGAACTTTGTTTAAGGTTTTGTTGGCCTCTTCCATTTCTAGGAGCATATGAACTGCCAACCAATGCAATGTACCGAAAAGCTGCATACAAGCTTACTGACCAAGCAGTAGCTCTTTCTCAGCTTACTTTCATAGTAATCAATACAAAAGGATTCCATTTATAAAACACTTTTCATGGTTCAATAAAATTCTCTAAAACCAAAGTAAAAACAAATTCTGTGAAATGGTCCCTTGTGAAAGAGTAAAACACTTAAATATTTGCAACAAATGCTATTAAATACCGAGGTTTAGAAAACTCCTTTTACAAAAAGTGAAAAGCCTACAGGTGAAGAGTTCAGATAACTCCGGGCGTCTTGTTAAGAGCAATTTAACTGAGTAAACTGTCAGAACAAATATGGGACACACAGGAAGAAAAGTCCAAGCTTCTCCTGTAAAATACTGTGGTCATTTTAGTAGAGGTAGGGCGTGCTTGGTTTGCTGCACGCCTGTAAAAACTGCTAGTCTGTTGCAGTGCAGAATGGTTTTCCACCAACTTCTGCTAGAATGCACCTTCTAGATGCATGGCTTTCACAGGGCACTATCTACATTTATATAGAACACACAGTGTGTTTGGCATACAAATAAACTCAAATACCTGGATGCGGCATTGATATATTTTTTTCAAGACTTCAATAACTAACTCTCTTATAATTGCTGTACTGCTTCATGTATGGGCAACTGTAGTTTATATATGATTAGGAGTGGGAGAAGAACAGAAAACGGTTCCTTCATTAATTTAAGCCACGTTCACAGCAGGGATGGGGAATTTCTGTCCCATATACTGATTCGGTCCTGCAAGCTGCTTCAAGGCTACTCTTCCCAACCCTTCCCTCAAGCCCTGCTCCTTCAGGGCTAGCAGGGAATCCTGAGTGTTATTTCAGACTCTGAATTGGAAATAATAGCAAATATTCACTTAGCAAAGCACTCCCCTGCTCACAATAGGGGAAGGTATATGGTAGGCAAAGCCCCCCCTCCAGCCCCCCAGCCAAGAACGGGTGTCTTCAATTTCCCTGATTAGGGAAAGCTTGCTGTATCAAAGCCAGGTGCCAGCATATGGCATTGGATGGAGACGTGTGCTTCTGCCTGGTGTTTCAGTTAGGGAAGCTCATGTGCAACAAAGCCAGGTCACTAGCTGAAGCACCAGGTAGGGACCAAATGATGCCTGTGTCTTCTTCTGGTCCACAGGGGTGAGTACATCCTTGCAGGTAGATACAGAGGAAGCCTTCTAGCAGGTGTCAGTAAGAGCTGCCTATCCTACATTTGCTCTTACTCCAAACAAATCAAAAAGCTTCCAACAAAACAATCTGGCAAGGGCACTTCTGCATTAAACACTCTATCCTGATTCACTTTGGAGATTCTTTTTTTAAAAGCAATGAGATGACAGATTCCTAATTGGTCTGTTAAAAGAAACAGATAGGAGGCCAGCTGTCAAGACTGAACCCCATGTTTATTTTGTCCCAATCTCTTCCAAGTTTGACAACATCTCATGCAGAACTTCTCAAATGTTGTCCTATTTACTGAAAAGGGAGACTATTGCTGTACAAGCCTCCCAAAGTGTGAGGCAGAAGTTTTGCTGCATTTTGAATACTCTCGCTTTCAGCCCAGGGCATGCAAGCAGAAGCAGAAATTGCAGGACTGCATGAGATCATATAACCTGCTTTAAATTCCTCATAAGGATAGCCTTAGATATAAGATATAATTGCCTTATAGTTACATCAGAACCAACTGAGGGAACAGTCTACTAATTTGCACAAATGCTTTTGCACTCTGCCTCCTAGGTCAACCAACTCACTGGAATGAGTCAGTGAGACATTCAGGCCTATAACATGGGTGAGCTCAGGCTGCTGAGAGCATGCTTTGAAAGCCAGTTATATGGTTCAGCCTCTGAAACTCTCTCCTGAGCCACATGTAGGTTTCAAATAGTTTAATGCAATCAGTCCAATAGCTTCCAAAGATCATCATTTTTTTACTTCAGTTTTTGCATCTGATCTACTGGAACTGAAAATGCCTTTTTCTCCCATACTATTGGCTTCAATACTACGTATCTGTACAGACTGTGGTGGTTGCTAAACTTATTCAAAAGAATTCTTCTGAGCACGCGGCAGCTGCGTGTTTCATAAGCCCAGGCCAACAAAAACACGCAGCTGTCACGGCCTTGAAAGGTTATATGATTAGGTCTTGGCTATCTGGCCTTAATGTAGTCCAAGTAAAGTTTGATAGTGAGATTGTTTTCTTAGGAACTGAAAGAATGTTGTTTTGCTAATTTTGTCTGGTATTTCTAGAACTACTGAATCCTATATCTTGATGGTTGGATATACAGATCTGACTATTACCTTGGAATTTTTGAAATTCCTGAGAACAGCCAAGGAAAAAATCTACCTGATCAAAATTGAACATGTTAATGTTTGAATGGGCCTTAAAATGCATTTAATCAAATATGGTTTTTATTATGTTGGGAGCTAAGCAACCTGTTTCTCCTTTCCTGGGGAGCAACATCTTCCAGATGCAGCAGCATCTGTTTTGAACAACAACTACTACTTATTTATTAGTTATATCCTGCTTTTTTCTTATACTGAACTCAAAGCAGTTTACGCCATTCTCCTCCTACTGCTCTCAATTAAACCCCCAGGACAACCCTGTGAGGTAAGTTGGGTTGAGAGTCTGTGACTGGCTGCATGGCTAGGAGGGGACCCGGCTCACCTGAGTCCCAGTCCCGCAGCCTTAATCACTACAACACACTGGCTCTTAGCAGTGTAGTATTACTACTAGCATGCTGTAACTAAGCACCACATTCGTGAATCCATTTGCTTTCATTTAAGTTTGGTTTCTTGTCTACCGCTTCCGAAGAAACCTGGACAGGTAGTTATTCAAGCCCCCCATAATGCACTTAATTAAAGTTGTAATACAGAAATTAAGGTTACTTTGCTTAGCCTCAGTTCTTTAATGCCAGCCAAAACAGGTGGATCTTGCAATGTTCCCATTTTGAGAACTCTAACCAGGCAGAAGTTTTCAACCATGGAGCAGCAAGCAACCCCATCTCAGGCATACAAGTTATAGCTAATAATGATGAATTACAAAAGCAACAGCCCATTTGCAGTTGTCTGATGTAAACAGCTCCCATGCTTTCCTAAACTGAAGGAATGTATGATAGTTATGTATACCTGGGCCTGTGGAAGTACACAGGGATCCTTGACTAATTATCTAATCTCTAATTTCAAAAGATCTTTCAACAAATGCCATGGGCCAGCTGCAAGAATTCCCGCCCCCCCCCCGCCCACCTCCCAGTAAAAGTTAATAAAGCAGTTAATCACACAATAAAAAGTTCACAAGGGCTCCTTCATAAAGCTGTTTACTTTACAGGATTAAATTATAATAGCCTACATGAGATTGGCCTTGTAGCCCAACCATCTTGGGGCAGTGACTGTAGTGTAGATGCAAAAACATATTACAGGCATGCAGTGCCACTAGAAGCCAAATTTTGGGGCATGACTATGTTGGCAAAGATTTTTAGGAGACGGAAGACATTTTTAGGGGAAATTGTTTTGTTTTCAAATATGTTTTTATCTTGAGATTCAAAATCAAAACACAAACCCAAAAGAACAAAAAGCGGGGGGTAAAATTAAGACACAATATTAGGGGAAAGTCTTATCACTGACAATACATGCTTGGCACAATTTTACTCTTGGCTTGAAATCTGCACCAATGCTCCTTGCTCAACTACAGTTCTAAGCATGCAGAAGCAATAAGATACGCAGGTATGAAAGTGCCCGAATCTACACTGCCTTACATACTTTGGCTCAGAAATGAAGCAGGCCACAAATTCTGCTTCAGCCACAGTGCCAATCACAGCATCAGATCTGTCAGATTTTATTCGGAACAGAAAAATCTCTCACTTTAAATCAATAGATCAGAACTGCACAGCCCTCTCCTTTGTAAACTCCCCCACTATTTAGTGAGGGCTTCATTAGCAGACTGTATGTGCAAAGGGGCTTATAGAGGAGATGCTCCTGAGATGCTCATAATCTAAGCTCTTTAGGGGCTTCAGAGGTCAAACCAGCACCTTGAAGTTTTGCTGTCTCTGTATAAACTCCAGCTAGTTTTGTGTTTTGTTTTGGTGACTGTCTTGCTTTCCCTCTTGCTATTAGCTGTCTTAATAGACTTTCTTTGTCTGAAATGCAGGAAATAATTTTGGATCAAACTCAAGAGGAAGGGGGTATTTTTTAATCTACCCCACAAAATCATATTGTGTAGATTACAGGCCCGATTTTCCCCTAAGAAGCACAGTAAACTTCAAAAGAGGAAAGGGGAGTATTCTTGTTTATGCAAGATCAGACTATGGTTTTGAAATAAAATGTAAGCTAGCGTCCAATCCAATTAATTATGTGGTGGTTATTTTCACAAAAGGTGTTTGGCTTAGAAACCACACTTCGTATTTACTCAGGTAACTCCAAATCATCTTAACACTTATTAAAAGTAGGCATTTATATTGTACATCAACCAGTTCCTGTGTGCCAATTCTTATTAAAAATAGTAACCATTTGCTGCAGGTAATTGTTATTGTCTGTATGTATTTATGTATGTAGACAAGAACAGCCAGAGACCCATCTAAATCGCTTCGTATTTGCACCCTCCTTTCAACTTCTAGCCTGATTCAATAAAAGGTTAGGTATGCTAAAGGCCATGGAAGTGAATGTAGTTGCAGTAGATGTCTCCAAATGCTGTATGCCCATATGTCCCCGAATGAACTGTAAAGATGCCATTCTGGCTGTCAGGATATTTTCAAAGCTACAAAATCCTCCACTGTTTCACTGCATGTACAAAGGTTTATTAATACTATCTTTAATTTACTGCTGCGTTCACAAAACTCCAAGACAGAAAATTCTCATTAGCTCAGAGCAATCTGCAATCAATTAAAATGTCCTGGCTTAGGACACAGCCAGTCTTAAACCAGTAACATACTTTAGCTCAGCAGAAAGAAAAAACAGAGATAAGTAGCAAGTTAAAAATTAACATCATTGGCTGTATTTCTTTAAATATGCTGTTACTATTCACTAAGAATTAAAAAAAAATAAAGCAAACTCTAGTTCTTCGGGGGGGGGGGTCACTTCTCTATCTGAGACCAAGTTACTTACAAATCAATGCTAGCCTCCCTAGACAACATCTAAAAGACCATAATTTTGGTTGGATCCTCATCTCTGAGGTCGGAAAATTACTTGAACCTCAGAGCTGGGGCTCCCGCTTGCAGTCAGTGTGCAAAGTACTGCTCTTGTTGCATCTCTGAGGCAACCTCGGAAAAGTTTAGTAGACATTCTGCGCGATGGGGAGGAGGCCAGTTCCACTAAGATATGATGTACCCTGGCAATGCCTCAACCTTCTTTTCTCTCTCCAAAGCATCGCAGTTAGTCAAAATCTGCCATCAATCAAGTAGTTTTCACAGAAGAAGATAAAGATGATAGTTCTAGAGAAAAGGGGGAGTGCAGAAGCAATCACAAGAAACACAACCACATAACGTACAGATTAGCTTGTTCGTCAGCAACCCAACTAATTATGTACAATACAAAATCAAACACATTTTCATCCCAGAATGATTAGCGACTTCTTCAATTATTCAGACATTACATGAAGTCTTCTAATCTCTTTATTTCTATTGTTTGTTGCAGCATGCAACCCATAAACACAGGTTGTTGGAAATGCAGTGAGAAATGTATTGGTCACTGCCTCCCTCTGCTGCTATGAACAACTGAGGGATATTTATATGATGCTTGAATCTAGAATTCAGGGTTGCTGTGGAAGTTTGAACCCATGGTTTAACCTGAACAACCCATGGTTTCATCTCCCAGCATCCCAGAGTTCCTGGGTCGGAATCCCAAAAGCAAACCAGGGTTGTTTATTGGTCAGTATGCAATACAAATTCTATTTTTTAAAAGCATGTAGAGAATTTGGAGTTCACTGTTGTACTATGTACAAAGTGCAGTTTCTAAGAGAGGTTGTAGGCCATGTGCAAATCTCCTTAATATTTCTACCAATTGCCTACTCTTCTGTTGGAGTAATTATTCACATTAGGTTGTAACTGAGCACCTGACCTACAAAGAACTGCTTCTTGATAAAATTTGGAAGAATTAGAGCCAGTGTGTGGAGGTAGGTGATTGTGTGGCAGGGAAGACAGAAAGATAGATTTGATAAAGTAAGGAGCAGAGCCACAGGTGAGCTGTAATACATTACTTGGCTCGTGGCGTATGCAGCATAGAATAGACCTGGCTTTGATGTTGAAAGCCTTCTCTCCAGCTTTCAGTCCTTGATTAACAAGTCTAACCACGTCATCCGGAGTGACAGGTCCACTGTGTAAAATAAAAAGAAATCAGTTAGTGCAGAATCCCCAACACAGTGCCCACAGGTGCATGGTGCCCACACAGCTTTTCATTCCCTGCCCGCTTTAAAAATGTTTGTTAAAAATGAAAAAAGGGTGCCAGGTTAGAGGCTGGCTAAGAAGAGAGAGAAAGACAGGGAAGGGGAACAAATAGAAAGGTTGGGGGAGAGAAATAGCAAGGTTAGAGGTTGTGGGTGGAGAGAGACAGAGAACAAAGTGGCAAAGGTATGTGTGGATGGAAGACAACTAAGCATCCCAGGAAGCAACTCTTTCCATTTCTCCTCCCCCACTAGTGTTGCAATTGCTCTCCCCTGTACATGCACACTGCTGGTGTAGAAGGGCTCCTGTTACACACCTAGCCACATTCTCTATGGAAGCCATTTTGTGGTGGTGCCCACAACAAATTCTCTCATTCCCAAATGTGCCCATAGATGCACTACAGGGACCTTGGGTTAGCATATCATTATTTCCCATCATGATTGCCTAATAGTGGAGAGAGGAAGGAGAAAAGACTGCTCCGTGATCACAGTTTCAAGCTGGTTGCATCTCAGACTCAGAGTCATATTTATTTTATTATTCTCTTGCTCATAAAAAAGTGTTTATTATTTTTGCATTAACTGAACTGTTTTCCCCCTAAATAGTGACTTGAAAGTTTATACGGGTTTTTTTAAGCATTCTTATGACCTAATTTTTAAACACTGTATTTTAAAATTATTTTGGATCATGTTCTGAGTAGTTGGGTACACACCCTAGGCATACTGGACTTTGCTTTAGACTAGGGGTGGATAACTTGAGGTCATCCTGATGTTTTGGCCTGCAACAGTTATAGCATATCTCATAACTGGCTTCCTACCTAGGTCTGATAGAGCAGTTCTGGACCAGAACATGGGGAGACAAATTGTTCACTTTTGTTTTAGAAGGAAAAGCAAGGCACATAAGCTGAACAAATGAATTTACTGCTTTAGAGTAGCACACATTTGCTGTGTATCTTAATGAACATCAATATTTTCTATTCTACATTGTCAAGTGCTATTTTACTCTACACAAATGAAGTATAAATGACATGCAAATGTATGTTACAAAATCGTGAAGCTGAGGATGTACACATCTAGAACCTCACAGAGGAGATGGTTGTGGGGGAAGTTTCAGAAAAAAGTGGCAGGTAGAAGAGGGTTATTAAGCCCTTTTCCCTTCTAATGCTTAGCTCCAAACTCCTGAGGTTGCTTTTCTCTAGAAAAAAATCCACCAAGGTTTTGTGTATATTTGCATGCAATATGTAGTGGTGCCTTAAAGTGAGAGAGGAACATCTGGGGACACATTTTACATGGTTCATGATAACAACACAATAACAACACAACTGTATTCAAAGGGCAAGCAAGTTTGCCACCTAATGCCTACCTCAGTGGTAGGAGGCCTCACGTTCAAGTCCCAGGTTCTCCAGTAGAAAGGATCTCCAAGACTCTGGAGAACCCTACCAGTCAGAGCAGTTAATACTGGGCTAGATGGATTAATGGTCTAACACAGTCCAAGGACATTGCCTATACTCAGATTCCACATGGTCTAAATATACCAAAGAACAAGACCAGCTGGCAAATTAAGCTTTCATCTCCAAATCTTTAAAACCTACTTTATTTCTGAAAGGGCAAAAAAGCAGCAATCCACAGCCTTCAACTGAAGGTGTGACAGAAGGCATGTCTGCACCACATGACAACCCATCCTGCAAATATGCTACACAGTGTGACTTTTTTGTGGAACAACCCATAGTGAGGCCAACAGAGGATCCTTTCAATCCTCCTGTAGGTATCCCAGGGACATGTGTGGTAGAATCTGTCTTGTCGCCTGTCCCAATGTCAATCAGAACCACTTCTGTGAATGCCACAGGTTTTTTTCTCCCACCTCCACAAATATTGCCTTTCACAATCTTTGAAGTGACACACTGAAGCAGCCATCACTAGTATTCCACACACATACACACAAAGCACTAGAAATGTGCAAGTATCTTATTTTTTTTCTTGGGAGTCTGGAGGTGCTTCAAATATGTTACTTCATTTTCACTTGACAGATGTCAAACAGTGCAGCCAGGCACAAAGTAAAAACCCAAGAGCACATTTGCCTACAAAAGGACAGGGTAAATAGATAATCACAACTGCAATAAGATTAGCAAGAGACATATACAGGTTTCATGGCTTGGCTTTATCAAAAACCCATTTTTAAAAGTAACCCTAAGTTGTGACAGCCGTCAAAAGTAAGTACTTGAGTAAATGGGATGAACTGCAGTCCAAGCACCTAGAGGCTTGGGGATGGGTGGAAAAACTGGAAGACACTGCAAACTGTCAGGTCCAAACCTAAAACCTAGAGGATTTTGCTGTGAATATGCTGACATGAGTAACACATTTGAAGACTGTCTTTGTCAAGTCCATGGACAGGACAATGACCAGGTATTTCAGTAGTTGGGAGTTACAGCTGCACACCTCCAATTTATTTATTTATTTATTTATTAAAGGCTTTTAAAATCCTGCCCTATCACCAATGTCTCGGGAAGGTGGTACAATAAGAAGCACAGCATCAACAATCTCAATAAAAACCCAAGTAAAACAACAATTAAATCTTAAAATTTTAGGAAAATAAAAAGGGTTTGTCCTGGCGCCAAAAGGAATAAAGTGTCAGTGAAGTGCCAGGCGCACCTCTCTGGGAGCATGTTCCACAGCTGTGGTGCCACCACAGAGAATGCTTCCCTCCAAGTGGCCAGTCTCCTTCAGAGAGGGCTCCTGAAGAAGGACCTCCAACTCAGATCTTAGGGGGTGGGCAGGTATATATGGAAGGAGACACTCCTTCAGATACCTAGGTCCTAAACCATGCAGGGCTTTATAAGTCATCATCAACACCAAGTTATCGATTACTGAAAAAACAAATTGATGAAAATGTTTATACACATTTCTGGCACAAGTGTGTGTGTATGTGGGGGGGGGGGGGAGGCAAACTGGTGTCATCCACTCCATGTGTGCACATTTGGGTACTTCGGAAGAGTTGTCACTTGGAAATTGCAAAAAGCCCCTGGCTCAAAAAAAGCGGGGCGCTGTATTGCTGCAAAAGAGGTCCCAGGCAGAGCAGAGCAAAGTGAGCCAGTGAGAGACAGGTCAAAGTGCCACTTGAGGACTGGGTGGGGTGCCGATCACTGGTAATGGCATGAGAGAGCCTGGCAAGAGCTGCAAGGGCTTTGCCATTCTCCCTGAGGACTTGTTTGCTGCCTCTTGCAACCCATAATGGGGTAAGTTGCTCAAGCTCAGATGACATGACAACCCACTGAGGATTCAATAATGCCTAAAAGAAGCCACAGATTGACAGAATGGCTAGTTGGGGGAAACACACCACCCTGCATGAAGCAGTCCAGGTTTGTACAACACAACAACTCACCACAGCTGGTTTCCCCTGGGTTATCATGTCACATGAATCTAGGCAGTGAGTTATCTTGCAAATTAGTTCAAGATTTCTAGCTCCCAGCTACAGTTTGATCATGACCATGCTAGGTAATGGAATATTTCAGTAATAAATGTGTTTCTCTCAACTGAAGTCAGCACTCATTTTGAAGAATAAATTAGCAATGTACTTCAAACAAAGCTCTGAATTCTTCTTAGCAAATTAAGAGCTATAAAGATCCACAGCAGGGTCTCAACTCAATAGCTACAACAGCTGACCATGTCTGTTTAAAAATTAAGGCAGCCAGAGAAGAAAATGCTTTTGCTTGATCTCTGGTTCCTTTCTTGAGTTAAGGGTAATTTTTGTCAACCCCACCACCCTTCACATAGGCCAAATGAAGTACAGAGAAGAAGGGATCCCACTTAAGATAGAAGCAGTCTCCAGATGGGATTTCTGGAGAAAAGAAAAACAGGGAAGACTTATGAAATTAGTAGCCCTAGGGAGAAATAAACATAGGTGTGCTTCAGATGCTATATGAACAGTTTGGATTAAATATTCCAAAACTTACATTATGCTGCAGTCCTAGAAATCCTATACATTTCCCCCTGGGAATACGCCCCATGCAACTCAATGAGACTTACTCCAACTAAGTAGACACACAGAGAGATGCACTCTATTTATTCTCAATAAAGCAGAAACATAATGAGAACCTCAACAGTTCAATTAATTGTGAGCATATCACAATCAGATTTTATTCATTCAACATCTGCAGGGTGCTTTTTACTGTCAGACAACATGTACTTGTTGTCCTCTGGATTTGATGCCAAAGAGTGCCCAGCATGGCTACAAACCCAAATCCATCATGAAATCTTTGAGCTCATGTTAAAATGGAAAAAAAGAAGTCATGATGTTTCCATAACTGTGATGGGTTCTCCTTGTCTCTTAGCTAATAAAATATCTAAAATTCAGCATGATGTATCACATTGTGAGGTAGTACAAGATTTTACAACTTAGACCACTATCCTAGCAGGTTTACTGAGAAGTCCCATTGTGGTCACTGGGGTTTACTCCTAGGTAAGTATACCTTGGACTGCAGGTTCAGTCAAGCAACTGACCTGGTTCACACAAACCAATAACCCATCATAGGTCATTAGCCACAGTAGCCTACTGTATCCTCGGAACCCAGGTTACTTCCTGCAGGGTTACTTTGTTTTGGACAACAGACCACCCTGGCAACCTATAGCTTGTTCCACAATGGGTTGTTGTGTCATCCAAAACTAGGAGAGCAATTTCATTATGGGTTGTGGGGATTAACTAGCGAGCCACTTGGCAGGAGCAACAGAAACCTTGGCACTCTGCAATCTTGCCCTTCCTGCCACCAGTAATAGCCCCTCCACCAAAGCCAAAGCAGTGCTTTGGAGCTTCTGGTCCTCTTCCCTTGAAAATTAAAAAGAAATTCACCTCTATAAAATTGCACAGAGGTATTCATATTTCTGTGAATATATTTCTGTGATAAGACCAACATTTTCACTTGCTCTTTTGCAAGTGTCACTTGACATGCAGACTTGCCAGGGAACTGCGACAAGTGCAGCAAGTAAGTGCTCCCAAAAAAGTCACTACCTTCCCTTTCTAGGTAGCTGGAGACTGAGGGAAGTGTTGAAGAGGTGCTGATTACTGAGAAGTATCATTCGACGTTTGGAATCAAGTAGACTACATTGCTAAGGGAAAGGTACACACACTTTTTGTGCCCCTATTTTTGTTTTCCCCTTCCCTTTTTGGTGCTTTTCAAGTGACAACTCAACAATTGTTCTCTTGCAACTGTAAGGAAATTAGCTTATATGCAGTCTTGCCTTATCAATTTCCAAGTTACTAACTTCATCTCCCTGTCTACCCTTCTTCCTTTGATAGCTGAAACACAAGAGGAAACTGACCAGGCAAGACTTAACATATATTGGACAGCTCTAAGAGCGCACTTGCAAAAGACAAATATATATAAAATCTGAACACAATTCCCATAGTTAACACCCTCGGAGTGCCACTGATTTCAATTATAAATTTAAATATTTCCTAATCCCCCACTCTCACTGACACTAATAGGACTTAATCCTATGCAGATTTGTTGAGAATTAAGTCTCATTGTGTGCAGTGGGATTTACTCCCAGAAAGCATACACAGAATTGCAGCCTAAAATACTTAAACTTTAGGAATGTTATGTTTTTGTCTTATTCTCTCAGAATAATACAACACATAACAAATGCAAAGAAATGGGAATTTGAACTTTGATTTTGAACCAGAAAATTGGAAGCTTACATATATGGGTACTTCTTTCTTATTTCGACAGCAGAAAGCTATCATAGTCCACTGATCTTGCACTGTGTGACATTCTAAGAGGCATGGGAAAAGGTTGCAAAGTTGAGACAAAGTCACTACGCTGCTGGTCAGAGACTGCATGACAAGCAATAGGATTTAACACACACTGCCAATCAGTACTACCTACTTGTCAGGTATTTGCTTATTTTATAATTTTACAATGTATTTTCTCACATGTTCAATTAGTTACTCACTTTTGGTCACTGCTGGCAAGGAGGTGAGGGCTGTACCTGACCTCAACATAGATGATACCCTCCTTGGCCTTCATTTCCACAAACTCATAAGCGATCCTTTCAATAGCCTCACGGTCTCCCCTGCAAATATAAAAGTGTGGGTTTTACCACAGTGGTAGCCAAATCAACAATTAAGAGCCTGTAAAAGTAAGGTTTACAGTACCCTGAGGCTGAGTGTTCTTCCACAGAAGCTTTAGCAATACATTGTTCAAAAACCATGCAAATTAGTAACCCTTATCTGGGCACAGCTCAATGACATTTTGTTTAATATATCAATATCCTAGCTTTCTGCACAAAAGTTTGAGATTACTTGTATTCATTAAAACCATATAAGAAATCAAGCATGGTCTGATCCAATTTGTGCTTCCAAAAATGTAGAGGTTAGAAAAAAGCAGATTTAACTTTAGATGTGCAAGAATAAGGCAAATAGCAAAATGTACTCTGGGCTGACTTAACTGCAGTTCTCCCAGATTTTGATTTGGAACCCATACTAACTATACTTGACAATGCCCTCCCACCATTAATCAAAATGTCATTTTTATTATTTGGGTGTTCTTCTAAAAGTCATGTCCCTAAGTGATGCGTCAGTTCTAAATGAGGTCCTCAGAAAAATAATAGGAGCCAGGTCTATTAGAAATAATAGGAACACGAGCACACCAAGAGTTTCAGTGGTCCCAAAGCGGGACAGGCCAGATACTACCCTCTCCTTTTGTCTCTTTAATTTCTTAACTTAATTCTGGGATTTTGTCACGCCATAGCTTGCCCTTGAGTACAAATTGGGCAGACCATAGAGGGCTTGCTCAAATCATAATTAGCCTCAAATCCAGATCAAACCCATAGTTGTGGGAAAGCTATGCCTTGAGAGAAACATCATTTGCCTAGCTTGGACAAACCAGCAGTCCACAATGCTGCATCAGGGGAATAACCCATGCATACAACACAAGAGACTGCCTGGCATTACATCTGAACAGACTCTCATAGGAAAGGCCAGTGGCCCTTACATTAGTATGACACCACCCCTCTGCAATGGCTTTGCTAGTCACCTACTTCTATCTCAACTAGTAAATGAACAGATCACATAAAGACTGAAGTTGCCCCCTGCATTTTTGTCCTTCTAAGTAAACAGAAATCTGTTCTAAACATTGTAGTTACAGAAACATTTTCTTTATTTAATATTTCAGAGAATTTCTATACTGCTTTTAATTTAAAAAAAATCTCAGAGCAATTTACAAGATAAAATAAGATTTAAAGTTTATAATTCTTTATTTAAATACTGAAGCAAGAAAATAGAGCCTCCACATTACCACAGATGATTAAGCCGACAACATCCATTGTTTGACAACAATTGAGATAGAAAAAATTACTTACGTTATTGCTGGCAAGTAGATAGAAAACTTTCCTATGAATTCTGTGAAACAAGTTGGCTTTTTCGAACAAATATGTTGTAGGAGGCCTTCTACAGTATCTGCTGGGAGTTGTGTTCCTCTTTTCCTAGAAGTTTAAAAAAAAATATCACCTACTAAAGGTCCCCTTGAGTCAGTTCAGAATTGAATCAGTCTCGTGTGCGGATGAAGCAAAGCAATAGACAGGCAAAAACATCTATGATGTAGTCACAAACTAAGCTTATGGCTGAATCTATTGTGGAAGGCATTGTTCAGCAATTCCATCTTTTTCTTCTTAACATTTTTTTTTTTGCAGTAGAAGACATGGTAGGAAACCATGGGATGGTTACACATAGAAGACAGGTATGGACTGGAACAGAAAGTAAAGTTCATTGTATAAAATCTTTTTTAAATTATACAATGATATTTCTTGTCCTTCTATTAAAGTAGACAAATGAGGCAGCCCAGGGTGGGCTCTCCTAAAAAACCTGAAGAGGGTACAGTAAGCTTCTGCTGAGTACACTGCACCCAGCTGCCCCCTATGGCCCACTCCAAATGCTCCTCTTTACCAGAGTTCCCTGATTTACCAAAATGCCCCTTTAGTTGGTAGGAAGTGGATAAAAGAGAAAGAGCCCAAGATACACACAAACCCTGGAAAGAAAAGGCAAAATTTTACAAACACCAAGAGAACAAGGCACATATGCAGGATATTGGTTTTTTGATCAACTAAATGAGGAAGTTTTCCCCAGTTAAACCCTAAACTTCAAACACAGCATCTTCAGTCAAGTGAAAATAGTGATTTCCTTTCTTGAAGTAACATTATGAGCAAACTGTATTCCTGCATGTTAGATGTTTCCTGACATCTGTAATTACTGGTCATTGACCTGATGTCATAGAAACCAGTGCCTCAGTAAATGAAAGCATCACACTATTAGCTTGGGAACTCCCTTTTCCCTCTAATTCCTAAGATTGTTGCAGTGACCTCTTATGACAGAACTGATTTTTAATGAAATTGAACTGTTTTGAAGTTACTGAAATTGCACTGATGATAAAAGCCCCACTCTCATTGCCCTCTATTAGGGTTCAGACATATTTATAATCTGATACTATTTGCAGATGTCCTCTTAACAGATAGTCACATCTGCAAATAGTCTTCTGTCATACCAGCCATTTTAGTCAACTGTGGTAAGATCTGGCTTTCACATTCTTTCTCATTCAGTTTGCTTCTTTTCCTTCCTGATTCTCACGGCCCTCTGTCTTCCTGACTGGGGATGAAGTATGAAAAAGTGGTTTGAGGGACGGTTCAGATGGTGGGAACTGTACTGTAACCCATATGCAAACTTATCTGAGAACCAATCCCACTGAAGGATGGACTACAGGAGGATACACTTCTGTGTGGTCACGCACAGTACCATGCTGTACAGCCCTTTTCTCGACCAAAGCACACTTGCCTTTTTCTTTAGCACAATTAGAGAGAACCTTGCCTTCCAAAAGCATAAGCCAACTCAATACAGATTATAAAGAAAGTGGGTCAAACATTAAATTTTAGTTGTTTAGACAAAGAAGAATCAAGGAACATTTTGGAAGTAATATCGACAATTTAATATATTACAATTTTTAAACAAGATGGTAGTAGAGAAGAACCCAAACCCAACACTATTCACTCACTTGCCAAAGTATAAAATAGTTTCTGGTTTAATAGCTCCATCCAGGTGGACATGAAGTTCTACCTGCAACAAAGATGAAAGAATATAAAAATGAAAAGATGTGAAAACTGTTGATAGAAAGGAAGAAATGTGCATATAATGTTAGGGGTTTTTCATGCAAGTGAGTCTTTTAATTTTCTTAGCATGCCAGCACTCTTTCCACTCCCCGCTCCGAAGTACAAGCAACTTCTGAAACCTTATGAAGCTCAAAATAGCTTGTGGAGCAATACAGGGAAATTCCAGATGCAAAAAGAAACAAGCATTTACTTGCACATTTATAAATTAAGCTGTTTCTTTCTAGCACGCATTCAAAATTCTCAACAAGCAGGACATGGCTACCAATGGCTCCTTTTGATAGGGCAAATATAATGCACAGTCTGCCTCTCAAGGGCGCACAAACCCTGTGGAGTACTTATGTATTCTGTATTTTATTGTTTGCTAAATTTGTATCTTCACTCTTCTCCAAGGAACTCAAGGCAGCATATATGGTCTGCCAAATTTTATCCTGACATCAGTTCTGCTGATGTGGGAACCTTTGCGACCAAATACCAATTTAAACCAAAGCCTCCCCTATCTAGATCCAAAGCTCTAGGCACTTCAATACCTTGTCGTTTTGGATTAATACTGAAAAGCTTTACTGATAATGATTAGTCACAAGAAGTCTTTAATCCTCCTCCTTTTCTATCTGGTCCTTCTCTCACACATTAAGGACTTGATATACAGAGAAAATACAAAGATGTGAACCAAATTCTATTTATAAATACATGAATTCAGTTTTCTTTATTTTAAGCTATATTAAAATCCCAGTATGCTGGGAAAGAGAATCCCTGCAAATCAGTTTAACATATGGCACAACTTTTATTATGAGTCACAGAGACACAGCAAAATGCACAGAACTCAGAATCATACTGGGATTTTTTTTCTGGAAAGGAAATGAAGACAGTTTAGGCATGATGCATTATACAAAGTAAAGGACACCAAGAACAAATCAGAATTTCTTTCCTATCTCAGAAGGATGAAGGCCAGCCTAATAAAAAGCAACAGGTTTGCAAAAACATAAAAGGAAAAGTTGCTGAAGGGAACACTGCAATTTCTGCAAGAAAGAGGAATAATAACTTTTATCAGCTTTAGAAAAAGACATAAAATATTGGTGCCTGTCTTTATGCTTAACACATTATACAGTGATGCCAAGATGAAAAATCTGCTTTAGACAGATGTTCTGCTACGTTCTTACTAGCCTTCTTTCAAGTGCTCCTGCACTTGAAAACTGAAGCATGCCTGTAAATAATTAAATAAAACAAAGAGTTCAGAGTGGTCCAGGTATAAGAAGAGTGAAGTAGTATTAGTCAACATATTCATACAGCATTCCTAATGGCTACTGATGTGCAACCCAAGAAATAAATGACTGGACAAATAACAGTATGAGTGCTGGGTAAATGAGGCGTGCCTGTGATACAAGCAGTACTCTGAGGAAAAGATCCTGGATTTCCTGCAACAAATCAAGGCAATTACACATTTACTGCATTATAAACTGAACAGGCCTTTCTAGATAGTGTGCAAATAGAGCCTTAGGCCCCATTACTTTATATCATGTAGTATTTTCTCTTAAACTTTTAGTACCTCGTGGCCCAAGGAGCAATTCCTAAAGCTTATCCGAAAGGCATGAGAATGGAAAGTATTGTGTTTATTTCTGTGATTGCCAGGCTTACAACCTATATACTATTTGGCTTGAATATGACAAATTTGTTGGCATATAGTTGTTGGAAGATAGACACATCCTATTATATGACTGGAGAAGGAGCAGGAAGCAATAGCAAGTAGATGAAAAGATGTCTATGAAAATCTGGCAAGTTCTTGCTTTAGACCAAACTGCATTGGCAAAGGGTTTGATCACATCATTATATAGAGTTCGGCGTTTGTTGTTGTATCTTACACAGAACATGTCCCTAATGCAGGGCTGAGCAACCTTCTGTTATAGAACTGTACTGCCCCTTGCCCAGGCAACACATCAGTACCAATCCCCGCACTCCCATTTTTACTTGAAAAGAGGCCAAGAAGCCTACTTCGTGATCACCCTGGTCTAACAGGGCAAATGGCTGATTGTATTTACTTCCTTCAATCATGAACAAGGTCTCACAAAACATATATCTGTATTTAGCTTACTAGAACTCATGCTCCCCATTCTCTGCAAAACTGACTGCAAGCGTCCAATTAACTGCTACTAACTTTTAAACCCACAAGACAATTGCCTCTTTTCTGCTGCAAGTAGGAAGATACTTTCTTCTTCAAAGAGGACACATGTCCCATCTTTCTGTGTAATGTCTGCTTTTACAACAGTGAAAAGTAATTTGAGAAAAACACTTTGGCTAGGTGATGTAAAGCTGTCTCACAAGAAAAAAGGTGCTCCACAGGCCTCTTAAGAGATTATTCATTTGTCTGCCCCTTCAGTGAAAGTACTAGTTGTGAACAGTCATCTGATTTTGTATGGGAAAGTTGCATCCATGGAGTGCTGGCATTTTCCTCTTCTAATAAACAGCTGAGGGGAAAGCCTCCAGGCTATTGTTATAGGCTGGGGTGGGGGAATTTCCAAACATGGGATGTTTCTGGCAAACTACAGTTGATGTATTTCTATAGGAACAAATGCTTCTTCATTCAGGGCCAATTTGGAATATTCTAAAATTAAAAAACACTGAAATGGGGGGGGGGGGAGATTTTTCCTCACTCCCTGAGGTGATCTGATGGAAGACCAGAGGGCTTAGCTTCCTGTGCATCTGAACTTTATTCTATGCATTTTATTAGTATCCAGCTTTGTAACTCCATGTCTTCTCTTCTAAGTTTCAGGCAAGCAGCTAAATCATTTCTATATTCTCAAGTTTTAAGTGTAGGTTAAAAGTTCTGAGTTCCCATTTTTGTATTGCATTGTTTTATTTTGCTCTTTTAATGTAGGAAATTGATTTAATTAATTTAAACTGTTGTACTGTTAAGAACTTCATTATGATTTATGTTTTTATATGAGCTACTTCAAGTTTATTTGTATAAATATGGGACTGTAATATTTAGCAATACATTTTGAAAAGTAAATAAACTCAGATATTGCGAAACACCATAGGCTTCCAAGTAGGCCTCATTCCAAAGGATATCAACTCAGCTAAGTGCTTGAAGAAGTGAGGCTAGAGTAACAGGTTCATGTTGTATGTATGTTCAATGATTATCATGTTCAATCTTGGTAGGCAAAGCTTCTAAGACTGAAAAAATGAAATTAAATAAAAGGTTTTGAGTCACTGTACCATGTATTTAGCTAGTTTGAGAACACAGCATAAGTTAGAAATAAGCAACAGAATTTATCTCTAGTCAGTCTACAAGTGACCTATACTAGAATAGACAGAAAAAAAATATAATCCACCCTTTAAGTAACAAAGCTGCTTTAGATAGAAGGTTTTACCTGTCGGGCTGCCTGTTCTGCCCTGGGCATGACAAAGGCACAATCAATGCCAGAGTTACTATAAGGAAAAAAAAAAGAAAATTCCACCAACTCTTTCCTGCAGTACAAGCCAAGCCACACCCTGTAGGATTTTTTAACTCTTTGGACAACCATCACCTCCTAATTTTCACATCACAAACCAGTTCTGAAACATCCTGTGTTTGAGAAAATGATTGCCATGTAGCATCACATGCTGGTTATGGAGATTTCTAGAATGCTGCTGTACATTTGAGACAGTATTCCGAAGAACCCTGTCTGCTATATTTCCCTGCAGTGCTACACAAAGCCACAGGGCAGGTTCCAGCCAAGAAGAGTACACAGAGAAGCTGCACTGTCACTGAGGACAGTCAGGAGCACTTGCTGCCTGATAGAATAAATGCAAGCAAGCAAGCAAGCAGCTTAGATCTGGTTAAGCCTCATGATTGCTGATGCTTTGAAGTCTATCCTGCCATCAAGTGGCCCACTGTACTCAATTTCACCTGATTGATAAGCATCTATTTGGACTAGACACAGAGTACCCGTATAGCCACCATTTCATGTGATATAAGAATTTTAATTCTTTCTTTGTCCTCCTAATTGAAGAAATTGGGACACATTAAAGACTGGTATTCATAAAGTGTGTACAAGGCTGCAGTAACCTGCAATGGAAAGATCCCAAAATTATCTCACACGTGTTTCCAGGTGGGAATCAAAGGAGCCACAAGACAACTTTACAAAGCTGAACCAATACTGATTCTAGTGTTCAACATGCTATTGTTTTGCTAGCAAGGATTTAGCATATGAACAAGTTCACAGGCTATAACCCTATCATTTATCTAGAATTTTTTCTCACAGAACCAGTTCCATTAATTACAGCCTGACATGCACACACTGTTCAACCCTTTTATAAATGAAAGCAGCAGCACACTGCAAATTTATTTATTTATTATTTATTTTCCGATTTATATCCTGCCTTTTTCCTACAAAGGGCTCAAGGCAGCTTACATCATTCTCCTCCTCCATCTTCTCCCCACAACAACCACCCTGTGAGATAGGTTGGGCTGAGAGTCTGTGACTGGCCCAGTCACCCAGTTGGCTCCATGGCTGAGCAGGGACTAGAACCCAGATCCTCTGAGTCACAGTCCCATGCTCTTAACCACTACACCACACTGGCTCTCTAGATGTACTGGTATATTGGCACAACTGTTTGATATCCCAGCAATGTAAAGGAGCAGTGCCAAGCTTGGAAAAAGGTTATCTTCCTGCCCCTGACAAATTGCCAAGGGACTGTTCAGACACTATTTCCAAGAAGAATTCAACACAGTATTGCCTTGAAGAGGTGTATACCTCTCCTCCCCACAATAGGGGAAAAATGACAAATGCATTGCTGGATACCCTGTTCACTTGAATATAGTGGTTCCAAAACGACTTGATAATTTCTAAGAATGAATGGCTGGTTAACACTTGGAAAATGGGGGTCCTCCCACTGAAATGAATGTAACACAGCTCAGTTCATTCATTCCAGTTCCTGAACTGGAAATGGTTGGGTGCTCTCATAAGCACC